TGTATGTTGTTCGTACATGGCATGATAACAGTTACATGTATAACCATAAGTGAAAGGTGAGTTGATATAATTTGTTACGAAGTTAGAATATTTGGAATGGTTCAGACGTACAACTATATTGCATGTGATGCAATTTTATTGAATCAATTTGTATAATAGTTCTCTTTCTTATCAACTTGATTCTTATCTACCATTGTAAACAAATTAACCAAACAATTATAACTTTGGACGTTCTTTGTTGTTCAATTTGTGTTCATGTGATTTGTTGTTGAAATGTTGTTGAAATCTTGTTCATGTGATTTGTTGTTGAAATGTTGTTGAAATCTTGTTCATGTGATTTGTTGTTGAAATGTTCAAGAAATCATGTTCATGAGATTTGTTGTTTGAATTTATGTAGAAATTGGTCATATTGGCTATATTTTGGTTGAGTTTGATTAATTGATTTGTTATAGTTGATGGGATAGTTTGGTAATTTGCAGTACGTTCAGGGGTAGTTTAGTAATTGCAATAAGGTCGGAGGGGTAGTTTAGGAATTGTACATTTTTGTAATTTTTTATGTGAAGCATGGGGGACAAAATCTCTCCTTCGCAAATGCTTAGAACAAAATCATCATCATCGGAAACACCCTTGGCGAACGTGATGCACCCTTGGCGAACGCGATGAACAAAAATCTATGCAACAAAAACCAGCAAAACGTTTAAGTTCAAAGTCCAAAAAATTGATCCGTTAACCACCCGAAACTCACCCGAAGCCCTCGAGATCTCAACCAAACATGAAACATATCCCATATCATCATTAAAACTTGTTCCAACCTTCGAAACACTCAAAACAACATCAAAACATCAAATCATCAACGGATTCATGCCTAAGAATTCCAAAAACTTTCAAATTTTGCTTTCGATGAAAAAGTCTATCAAACCTCGTCCGAATGACCTGAAATTTTGCACACACGTCACAAATGACACAACGGACCTACTCCAACTTCTGGAACTCCATTCCAACCCCTATATCAAAATCTCACCTATCAACCGGAAAGCGCCAAAATTTCAATTTCGCCAATTCAAGCCTAAATCTAATCCGAACCTCCAAAATATATTTCGATCACGCTCCCAAGCTTCAAATCACCTAATGGAACTGACCAAATCATAAAAATCCAAATCCGAGATCCAATACTAAAAAGTCAAAACTTGGTCAAATCTTTTAAATCTTAAGCTTCAAACTGAGAACGGTTCTTCCAAATTCATTGTGATTCCCCTGAAAACCAAAACCGACGATTGAAATAAGTAATAATACATCACACGGGGCTAGTCATGCCCGAGAACTAGCGAGCAAAGTGCAAAAGCTCAAAACGACCGGTCGGGTCATTACATCATCCCCCACTTAAACATTTGTTCGTCCTCGAACGTGCCCAGAGTTGTTCCNCGAAAAATATTTAAGCTTTCAAAATAAAAATAAAAACTAAAAAAAAATCTTCTGCTTTCTTTGTTTGAAATCAGTATTAATTGTTGTTGTTTCATTCAAAGCTTGAAGCTTTTGTTTTTGGGATTACTGCTCTACTGGTTTGCAAACTCTTTTTCTGGGTTGTTACTGTTGCTGGGCTGTTGTTGCTGGGCTGTACTCTTATTACTGCTGCTGATTTTCATCTTCATTTTCTTTTTCTTCCAATATCAGGTATATATTTTAGACTCATGTTGTGGAAAGCTTCAACATTGCCAAATAAATGAAGTTCGGAATTATAATTATGTCTTTTACTCGTTTAAATCTATTAGTTTAAATTTCAGTTTTGTTTCAGTTGATTAATATAGTAGCTTACATTTGATGTGAGAACTGTTAGTTAATCATCCCTTTGAAATTCGCATAAGCTTTGTAATAATGTTATTTATTTCAGAATTTCATTAAGTATAGCTATATTCAAATTATAAGATAGGGAACATGGCAGAAAGCTAGCCATTAATTAAATCTTATGATATTGTCGTTTTACTGTTACCCAAGTGGCTTGAGAGATTTCTAACTAAGTGAGGCCGATGGCCTGTGTTGTGAGGATACTATGGGATTGGGCTGCGTGTCGCAGCAGTGTTGTAATAATTCATGATTTTGAGGCCGAGGGCCAGATTTTTTAAGCCACGAGGTGGCTTAATATGAGGCTGAGATCCTATTTAATTATGCCACGAGTTGGAACAAGTTTTAATGATGATATGGGATATGTTTCATGTTTGGTTGAGATCTCGAGGGCTTCGGGTGAGTTTCGGGTGGTTAACGGATCAATTNACCACGAGTTGGATTGTTATTACGCTTGGGCTGTAAGGGGTCCCTCCCGGAGTTTATACCGAGTAAATGTGGGTACCTAGTGTAAGTGATATTATGTAGCCCGACAGGCTGTTGTTGTTTCATGTTGTTGCCCGAGGGGCTGTTCTTAATCCATGTTTGCCCGAGGGGCAGTTCTTGATTCATGTTATGCCTTAGGGGCTGTTCTTAATCCATGTTTGCCTGTGGGGCAGTTCTTGATTCATGTTATGCCCGAGGGGCTGATTACGAGTGATTGTGAGTTAGCTCGAGGGGCTGGTTCTATTGATAGTATGTCCGAGGGATGGTTTATGGTACATGTTTTGCCCGAGAGGCTGTTTACGTTTTTTATCATTTTTACTCACTATTTTATCACTCGTTTGAAACCATTGAAAGTTGTTTTAAAAGATTTTTACTGAAACTGAGTTTGATTTACGAAGTAAATGATTTGTGTACAACTTTGGAAATGATCTACATTTGTTGTAGTGTTATGACGTGGTTTACATGTTTTCTTACTACTCAGCTTATATTTACTTTTATTACTTACTGAGTTGGCATACTCACATTACTCCCTGCACCTTGTGTGCAGATTCAAGTATTTCTGAACCCGGTAGCGAGTGTTGATTGCTCAGTGGCAAATTCATTGGAGTTGGCAAGGTAGTTGCACAACATTTGCAGCCCTGCTCTTCTTGCTCTTGTATTCCTTACATTGTTTTAGTATATTTTCAGACCATAGTAGATGCTCATGACTTGTGACACTCCAATGATGGGCTTGTGTATTTATTCCGCACTGTTCATTTTGACTTACATTATGAGATATTTGGATTACTTAAAAGCTTAAAAAAATATGATTTATATTAATTAAGGGTTAATTCGGGAGTTGTGTCGGCTGTCCTAGTTTCACGATAGGCGCCATCACGACCGAGTCCAAGTTGATATCAGAGCCTAAGTTACATAGGTCTCACGAGTCATGGGCAAGTTTACTAAAGTCTCGTAGATCGGTATGGAGACATCTGTACTTATCCTCGAGAGGCTGCAGAACCTTTAGGAAATCCCACATTCTTGAATTCTTATCGTGCGTCCTTGAATCAGCTTGAAATGTAACTCTTGAAATTCCTTCCACGCATTCATATGCGCGCATGAGCGCTCAGTATCAGGTATGCATCGATGGCTTGTGATTCCCTGATCGAGGGGGCAAGGTGTGATCTTTGCGTGTTGATGTTGGGCCAATCTGGAGGACTTGAGGCCGGATTTTGCCTATAGTTTGAGCACTAAGGCATTGATTGTGTGAGCACGTGCTTTTGGATTTGTAAGTCCGATAGTGTCCCTATTAGTGGGAGTGATGACTGGATAGCTATGTGATGAGTATAATGTGACTGCGAGATGTGTTCATATGATTTGAATGAGATGAGAAAGGTCTTCTTGAGGGTAGTAAGAACTATCTGGTGCTTGATTTCCATCGTGATTTGATATATAGACCGAGTTGTGGGTGTGTTGAAGGGTCTTTTCATATTGCCTAGTTGGGAAGTGAAGTAGATTTCAAGTTGTGATATGAGTTCAGACTCAGGAAGAGTAAGTGACTGTGTAATGTTTATGACGGTGGAAGGGTATAAAGAGATATTAGTTGAGGCGAAGCAGGTGGGTTATCTCCTACGGAGTGTTATCAGGTTTTTGTGATCCTTATGTTGTTGTTGGAAGATCTCTTTTACCAGTGAAATATCAGTATTGCAATTTGCACTTGGGGTCACTTAAGAGAGTAGGCTTGACCGTTACGAGGGTGAATGCAAGATTTGCAGAAGATTTGAAGTAATAGATGGTCTATGTTGCACGAGCTTATGAAGGATTGAGTTTAATCTCACTATGGTATTATGGTTGTGATATAGTATATGCATTATGAGTTATTGTGTGTTTTGATCTATGGCTTTGAGCAAAGTGGGGGAGTCTGCTATTGATTAGTTGATTGCACGGTTATGTGCTATGTTGGTTCCAGTTTGAGGCGTAAAAGTGAATCTGTTATGGCTTACGGAGGTTGAAACCGAGGATAGATCGAGTAAAGGAAATTTCAATAAAGGTTATGTTATGATTTATGGGTGTATGAGAACCATGGAATGACTTGAGTTGTTATTGGTAAAGGATATACTGTGTATAGAACATGAAGTTGCTTGGTTGCATTAAGATGAGGTTACATTCTGCGATGTTGGAGTGCTATTGGAGCACAGGTCGTCCGGCCATTTAATCGGTCTAATTGCGGTTTGAGAAGAGTGAATGACTCTCGATAATGGTTCTAATGAGTTCAAGATTTTACATGTAATAATTGGAGATTTTCAAGTTGTATAATTGGCTATAAACTGAGGTTTGCATTGGAGGGTGTCAAGACTCGTGGTATTTCTATATCATTATGAGATTCTATATACCATGATCATGAAGGTGAAGGTAATGGTTTTCGGTTCCCAGGGAGTCACTTCAGGGTAGGTATTTTGAATGTGGTGTGTTTGGGAATATTTGAGAGGGTATTCAGCGGTTTATGAGCCTTAGATAGTGTGGTTTTATACTTCGGTGTTGTGTGGTGAGTCTGGTTGAAGAATTGTGGTGTTATAACAAGAAGAAGTATCAAGTGAAGGTAAATTAGAAGGAACTTGGATAGATGGGATAGCTTGGTAGTAGGTCGGATCGGCATGGTAAGGATATGATTAGTTCTTTGGATGCTTACGAGGCAATAAGTTTTTGTAGGTGTTTCGCTGCAATGCTCTTGGGTTTTATTGGCCTGCGTAGCTTGATTGAGTTAGAAGGATTCAATCCTGACGGTTTAGTCTTGTGCAAATGGAATTCGGAGAGTTCTTGATAGTTTCTACCACGGTTAGAGATGTATATTTTCTACGAGCGTGAGGAGCATGAGATGTATAGCGATTTCCTTCTAGGTGGGATCAATGGAAAGTTCTTGGCTAGTTGAGTACGTAGTTGCTTGTGGCTCGGAAGGGATATGAAGTTCTCATATTTATCCTAATATGGTATGGTATATGCGGTATGTTGTGTAAGATTAATATTTTTATGTGCGAGGTTACAGTTCAGTTCTGAAAGGAAGGTGGCTTGATAAGGGTATACATTTTAGAAAAGGGCAATGTGATTGAGTTGATGATGCTTCATTAGTGTTGCGGCACTCACTTGTTGGATCGACTGCTGATATTCGAATTTGCTTGGTGACACCAAAGAATTATAGGAGTACCTCTCGTGGGATGATTTGGGTATTAGAGGTGAGTTATATATTCGGACAGTGGAGTTGGGATCAGATATGGTGATTCGCGTGCTATATGGATTAGGAGACTAGGAGTTTTCATAAACGGGTTAGGTCGTGGTTGTGGATTACGTATATCGGTTTTGTGTGGTAATTATTGGAGGTTTGGAGACCCAAATGGATCTTTACTGCTTAGTATGCTAGATTTTAGTATGATATTAGGTAAGGATTGGTTCTCTTCGTGTCGTGTTATTCTGGACCGTTGCGCCAAGGAAGTAGCATTGGCTATGCTGGAGATGCCACATATTGAGTGGCGAGGTTCGACGGGTTATGTTCCCAGTAGGGTGTTTCCATTTTTGAAGACCCAGCGGATGGTTAGGAAGGGTTGTCTTTCTTACTTTGCCTTTGTAATGGATGTCAGTACAGAGACTTCTACTGTTGATTCAGTTCCGGTGGTGAGGGATTTTTTGGATGTGTTTCCTGCTGCGGGGAAAGTCACCAGACATGGTCGTTGATTTCCGTATTGATTTAGTGTCGGGCATCATATCGTATGGCATCGGCGGAGTTAAAGGAGTTAAAGGAGCAACTTCAGGAACTCTTTGATAAGGGGTTTATTGATCGGCCAATATGGATGTGTGTTCTAATTCGAGTCGGCTTGGTTGACTCCGAGTTGTATTGTTGAGGGATATGTTGATTCGATGGTTATTTAGCTTATTAGTGATCTAGAATATCTATGAGTTACCTTTCCGTGTTGCGATGCGTTCAGATTTGTTGGTTATAAGCACATGTGGTGTGGCTTTATTGGGGCCTCTCAGTGGAATTCGAGCAGAATGAGTATTGGGTATTGCTCGGCGGATGGCGTATCGGTTGTGTCCTTTCGGGTTTATGTAATGTTATGTCAATTGCTTTTCTATGGTTATGATTATTTTCTTTGGTTCTAGACATCAAATTGCGCGTGGTTGCCAATTTGAGCATAGTGACTTGAGGTGTTTTTTGTGGACCAGTGTTTGGATGAGGTCGTGCATTGGAGCGAAGCTATATGGAGGTGTGATCCACGGGATAAATTCGTGTGTTCTGGTTCTACGACGTGTGATGGGTTCCCAGTATGGTGTTGTGGTGGTACTGGTGAGCTTCCGGTACAACTCTCTCACTTGAGACATTTTTCATGACTTGAGTATGTTCTGATTGTTGCTTGTTAGTGCGCGGATTGCGCGAGTTATGGCTTTAGATTGTGTTGATGAGTCATGTCACCAGAGTAGTTGTGTTGGATTAGATGAGATCGTTGGGATCCATAATGAATACAAACAGATTCGGTTTCAGCATGTTGGAAGGATAATATCGATGTTCGCCTCAGAAATTTGCTATGGTCCTTACCAAGGGAGAAGTGGCTTCATGAATGGTTGATCTGAGGAATGGTTATGGCTTTCTACGTGTTTGTTTTATCATTGGCAG